CTCTCAGGCTGCTCGAGATGTCCATCGTGTTCCCTCGATGCGAAGCTGATGGTCCTTCCAGCGTGGATATTTTCTGTAACATAAAAATAATCGAATCGATTAAATAATTGTCACACGCATCGAACATCTTATTCATTATTCAGATTAATGTTTTCTTAAATTACTTCTCCAAAAAAGATCTCTACGTTAGAATCAACTTGAATCAAATTTTTCAAATTATTCCTTTTTACTAATTTATATTTCGAAACACGGTATAATGTAGCAACTAAATAAGGATAAACGAAAAAAAGAATTCTATAATATTTTTAGAAAAAATAAAAAGTAACACTTACCAGAAGTGTTGGTACGTTGATGCCCGATGCCTATCCTAGGCCTCCTCCTCCTCTCAGGCTGCTCGGAATGTCAGCTACGCAGCATTCCCTCGCTGCTCCGATGTCACGTTCAGCGTCGTTATTTTCTGAAATATTCAAATGAACGATTCGATTAAATAAAGACAGAAGAGATAGAAAATTTTTGGACATAAGTAACATAGTACGTAAAAATCAATTACACTCACCACTTTCTTTCAGGCTGCTCTGGCCGCAAAATCCACCTCCACCTTCGGGTCAAATAGGAGTCTCGAGCCACATTGAGACTCGTGGCAATGCAGTGTGACTTCATCCATTAAGCAAGAAAAATTAAGAAGCCATTTCGGCCATATTGCATTAATTTTACGACGTTGTTGCAAAATAGTCGAAATGTTTCTTGACCTATCTCGCTTAATAGAAATGTAATTGCTAAAAGGAATTAAAAATTATTCTCTACCTTTTTTTTTTTTTTTTTTTTAACGTGGTGGAAATCTTCGAAAGACTCCCCTGCCCTGAGGAAGGGAGGGAGAGTGTCGGATTCTACGCGCACGCGTACCACCGTTACGAGGGGCGCTTCAGAAGACCAAAATCCCCTGAGCCTCCCTCAGCGTGGCATCGCGCGCCCATAGCCTACCGACTAAAACCACCACGAGCGACCCTGATCTAACTTTCTAAGGGTGGTGGGTGTCGATCCGCAGACATACGCACCGCGCGGCTCTACGCCCTATAATCCACCCGTAATCTCGCAGGGTTGGGTGGGTGTCGATCCGCAGACACA